GGTCGGCGGTACCGTTACATGACGTCACGTGCGAGCGTTAACTCGGTGACGATGTGCTAAGTGGGGGAATGAAAACGGTGGGGGTTCAAGAAATGCGACTCAGCAAGCTTTTTTACATTTCTTGACCCTTCTTAATAGTTCTATCGTCCCCACTGAGAAAATGGATCACCAATGAATGACGCGTCATACTTCTACAGCTGGTCTTTCTCCCACAACCATCCCCTGTTTTCACAACAACAAAAAAACCTGACCCGTCTCCAAAATCACATCGCTGAGTTCTACTCAACCTCTCCCCACCACAAATCACAATTTCTATCTGAAACAATATGTTCATATGTTTGTTCTGTAATAATGCACGCTGTCATTACTATCTTAAGAGCGACGTAATTTATGAGCGATCTAATATTGATTTGCTTACTGCAAAATAAAGTGTTCAAAAAGTTCGACCTCCCAACAATTGTTGTGGTCTTGGATGCACACTATTAAGTCTGAAAAGGTCTATTAGTCATTCATGTCAACTATATTGAAAAAGAAGAAAAATGACTATACAGGGGGTTATTCATAAATGACGTAACGCTTTTTTGACGATTTTTTACCTCCCCGCCCCCCTCCATCACACGTCGGTCACAAAAAGCCAGACCCCCCTAAAATGACGTCACACCCCTCGGTATATATATATATATATATATATATATATATATATATATATATATATATATATATACTATATATATAAAGTATGAGGGGGGGTGCAAATCGAAAGTTTGAGAAGGGGTTGCAAAGCGAAAGTTTGTCCCTGGGTAAAAATTGGAACCCCCCCCCCACCCCCCCCCTTGAGACGATCCTGGCTACGCCACTGCGTCACACCTCAGCCTACAAACCCCCCCCCCCCCCCCCCCTTAAAATTGCAGTTGAATTTTTATTTAAACAGCTATATTTTTCCAAAAATCTTGTCTGAACTCTGTCAAAATAGATCTAGAGCAGGGGTCTCCAAACTTTTCAGTCCGAGGGCCGCATTAACAAACAAATTTCAGTTCGAGGGCCAGCTTCTTCCAGGCTTGTCTTTGATTTTTTCTGGGCAAAGTTCCTCAGCCATCACCAACAAACGTTTTTTCAGTGCACAAAAAGATCTCCGCGGGCCGGATGAGAGCACATCGCGGGCCGCATCCGGCCCGCGGGCCGTAATTTGGAGACCCCTGATCTAGAGTATTTTAATCAATTGTTATTACAATGTATTAAAACAGTTTTCTAAAACGCACAATATCGTCTAAAATTCGTTTTCTAACATTGCTTTTTTATAATGCAAAAGTGTGACGTCGTACCATCTGAAACCTCCCCCCCCCCCCCCCCCTCCCCCCTCATCACACACTGTCACAAAATTGCGGACCCCTCCTCCCCCCTACGATTGGGACGTCATTTATGGACGACCCCCAGGCATATATTAAAACAATACAAAAACCACAAAATCAACACAAAAGACATGCGAATAGACAATTTTTCAAGGGAAACTACTCTATTATTGTTGTTGAAACATGGCCGCTGCTTGTATTTACTCATTGTTGTCTCGAACGGGGTAGTTTAAAGTTTATTCCAGGATATTTATGACTGGTTTGGTCTTGGATTGTGATTTGTTATTCAACTATCTGTTATATTATGTAAAATATGACATAAATATGGCCAAATGAAAGAAATATTCATTAGTTACCTTCATCGCACATTACTAGCTACGTTTGAATTTACGACGCTAAACTAAGATTTTACCCAGCAGGCTACTAAATTATTAGATAAGGCCTAGGCCAAATTTTAAAAAAAAAATTTTATTTTTATATTTTATAGTTTACAACGTTTTTAAACTTTAGAGACTCTAGATTCTAGATAGATAGACGTCTACTAGAATCTCTAGATCTACTAACACTAGTTAGAGCAGGGGTCTCCAAACTACGGCCCGCAGGCTGAATGCGGCCCGTGAAGTCCTCTCATCCGGCCCGCGGATATCTTTTTGTCCAAGGAAAAATCGTTTGTTGGTGATGGCTGAAGAACTTTGCGCAGAAAAAAATCAAAGACATGCCTGGAAGAAACTGGCCCCCGAACTGAAATTTGATAGTTAATGCGGCCCTCGGACTGAAAAGTTCGGAGACCCCTGAGCTAGAGTGTAGCACTCGAGTACGTAGTAGTCTACATTATTACGTAGTACTACTTCTAGAATCTAGACCTGAATAATCTAAATCTAGATTTCTAGCTAGATCTAGCTTAAATATTTAAAAAATTGTAATCTATCGATTTAGGACTTTACAGTACGTACAATTGGCCGAGACTAGTACTGTGAAAAAACGTGACTCATTACATTTTTGTAGGCCTAATTATTTCACATTTTTTTGAGGATTTATGTTTTGAAAGTTACAAAAATGTTTCAAAGTTTCGTTAATATACCTGTTTTTAAAAACAAGTGTATTAGAGCCTAAAACTTTTCAGTAAAAAATAAAGACTAGCGATGTTTTCCTCAGAAACCAAGCTCATTTACTTTAGTTGCCATCTTGTTTAATTTCTTTTGGTAAATTTATAAAGATTCAGGGGAAACCCCTCCAACTTACAGATGGCGGCTGTTTATATAGCAAATCTTGCTGTTTAATTTTTGGCCTATATTGATATATTTAGCCATTGATTATGGTTTCGTAATCAGTATCTATTATATTTGATACAAATATATCACAATAAACTTCTATTAAATAGCCTTAAAAATGAGGCTATGTTTTCGCTCATTACTAACCTCAGCCGATTTTGCGCACCTAAAGCGATAGATTACCAAAAAAATTAATAGGGCCTATTTTCTGGCATTTTAGTTGTAGATGACTAGACTATCTATATCAGGAAGGCCTACTCATGAAATAATAAATTTGCAAAGTGACTGCTCAGAAAAAGCTCCCCCCCCCCCCCCCCCCCCCGCGCTACCTGGCCAGCAGATGATGCAAATTAAATATACCCCAGTTCTAGCCCAAAAAATATGTACATGCGCAGAGCTCTACAATTACCTGGTTTTTCTTGTCATCTGCGTGTTCGCTGTTTAGGCCGATGTTTCGTCTTAATGGGACAGGGATTAACTTATAGACTAGAACTCTTTGCTAGCTATAATATATACTATAAACCCTCTACCCCTGATGACACACCCGCAGCACAACTGCTCAACCACACAGTACAGATAGTTTTGTCAGACGAATAAAACTAAAAGAATAATTGATCCCATTTCTCAGCTATTAATAGTATTTAATTTGAGCCCATTGTGCAGATATTTAGATCATTTTGTTTTGCATCTTTTGCCTGCCAAATAGCACTAGGGGAATATCATACAAAATGTTAACAAAAATGGCAGAACTAGGTCATGTGGTTTAAAATAACATAATTTTATTTAAAACTTCATCTGAAAAGTTTTGTAAACAATTAACTGATATGTGGGTCTACCAGAATATTGATCACGGAATTCCTGTACTGTACAGCCAATCAATGTTTGTCTTACAAAAGTGAAACATCAGGTTATAACTTAGGTTTTATGTAAATTAAATAGAAATGTAGCCTTAAACTCAAAAAATAACTTTTAAGTTTTCTTTTTGTATTTGCTACTTTTATAACCTTGATTCTTATAATGTAAAAAAATATTTAATTTCTGAATTATTTTTAGGTGTAAGTTTTTATTTTTTATTATTTTTACTATAGCTTTGGTTTCAAAATCTAGAAGAACATATTTTTATCCATGCCAACAATGATGGAAGGATTCCTTTAGCTTACAAATTAAGAACTATAAACCCTCAAACACTAGGAAGCATGGATGAGTGGACAACATAATAGCTAATCTTCAAGCTCACTTCAGGGTTCAAAACCGAAGTCAATCAGAGTGTTGTTTATTTTTATTGTACAGAATTAAGTTTTTCTATCGCAATCAGTGCTAAATTTGACTTTTACTATTGCTCCAATTGGTTGCCAAAGTAAAATGCATTATAAAGTGTATTTTGTTTTAATTTTACCACAGAAAAATGATCTCACGTATAAGAAGATTTACTTTTTTATGGGGTGCACTGCTTTTCTTGGTAACTATAATAATGCTGTACATGATGCTGGATACACTGAATACTTACCCGAGGAGTGGTAGTATTGATTCTGTAAGTTTTCTTTTCAATCATAATTAAATTTGAGTTAACGGTTAAATTTAATCATGCACCAATTTAAAAGCTATAAACATCTGTCTTCAGCAGGGTTTTTTTTTAAAATTACAATGGTACCTTGTAGAAAAAGAAAAATAGTTGCATAGAACAATCACTGTGATGTTTAAGTCCAGTGTACCCAAGCTATAGTCATATCAGTGTTAACAAGGTGACTGAGGACATCATAGTTACATGGTGTCATTGAACAACAAATCCAGCTGCCACTTCAGAAAACTCCTGATGAACAGGGAAATGCAGGTCAATTTGTACAAAGTTTCCCAACCAGGACTAAACATGAAAGATCTAGAACTGTCCAGTCACATCTAGTTTATTGAATACCATCTCTATCTCAGACAACAAACATAGTGATTGTGAATAATTACATTGTGTGTTATTGTCCTCCACATCACCTCCCCTGCCTCATTCTTAGCACACCAGAAATCAGTTCCTCAGAGTTTCTGCTTCATTTTTACTGCTTATGTTAATTTTTCCCATTTTTTTTAAATCTCAAAATGGGTAAATGAGTTCCAAAATAATTCTATGAGAAATGGTGTTTTATAGAATAAACAACTGATAGAATTAATGTGCCTACACAACAAATTGTAATTGCTCTATAATTTACTACTATGTTATCTCAAAAATTAAAATGTGTATAGTATATACAACAGATGCAGCTTATAGAAAGTAAAATACATAAAATAGAAACAGACATAGAGTCAAACAAGAAAATTGTGGGTGAGATACGACAAGAAATTGTGGACATCATCCATGGTGGACAAGATGCATTTAAAAAACTTCAAGAATCTTTTGAGGTAAAATTTTACTTTCACAATGCAATGTATGGCTTCTGCTTGTAATTGGTGAAAAAAGAAATCAGTGAACTTGCTTAATATTAAATGTAAACAACATTGAGTAGACACACTAAAAGGGCTATGTCAGATATAAAATGGCTAATTATTGTGGTTGAAATTTGATGAGGTACTGTTTAGTTAAAACATATTTTTACTACTATTTTGTGTTAGCTTTTGAAATTAAAGTATTAAACATGTAGGAACCCAAGAAAAGCTCTCCACCAACAACACAAACCAGTGATCTAGATAAGGAGTTTGGCAAAGCAAGGAAAGAAGATGCTTTTGATGTCTCACCACTCATTACAGCTGAGTCACTCACAGGTATTATGTTTTGTCAATCATTAAACCATGTTTTCATCTTTCTTATAAGGCTAATGTTTATAGCAATTTGACACTTTTCCTTTGATTGAAATAACTAGTTAGTAAATTATATTGGGTTAGAACATAAATTATGGTAATATTTTATTACAACTTTTGTAGAGGTGTGCCATTGGAATGATGAAGCAGTTTCTACAGCAAATATAAATGTAAGTTGATTTCACTTAAATTTGTGATGGTATGAATGCTGAACTCAGCTCCCAGCCTATTTCTCACACTCACAATTTTAAGAACAAAGGTCCATCTTTTTAAAGTATAGAGTAAGCCCTATGAAAAAATTCATAATAAATAAAACTTGTATCAACAACTAACTCATGATTTTTAAAACATGAGTAAAAAGGATAACATAATAGGGTTTAAATGATATCATTTTAGTTTAACAAAAGGAAATCAATTATCCGCTATGCTGGTGGTAATGATCCTAGATAAATAAAACACAACTGCAAACAAATGGTAGCAATTTCAATCTTCTAGCCTACCCTCACATTACTTTATGAGTTATTCAATATTATCACTGCTACTGCCACTTTTCTTCTCTACCCCACACATGCTCATTTAAAGTTTATCTATTATAAATAATGATAATAAATGATGGCAAAAACATAAAGTTTTAATAATGTATCATAAAATACAAAAAAAAAGTGTACAAAGCTAAAAAAAATACTAAAAGTTAGTTTGTTTTCCATTTTTTCTAACTCAAAGTTTTATTTGTAACAATTATACAATAGTAAAAGCAGCATTGCAACAATACAGAAAATAAGTAGCCAGTCGAAGATTAATCCCACATGTTCTGTGACATTAGTTATTCCATGTGGTTGACCTTTGGCTTTGTTTTAGGTCCATAAAATGTTAGAGGAAATCCCATTTGACAATCCAGATGGCGGCCCATGGAAACAGGGTTGGCAAGTTACCTACCCGCCTACTAAATGGACAGACCAAAATGTCTTGAAAATAATATTAGTTCCTCATACACATTGTGATCCAGGTTTGAGTTGTTTTCTCACCATACCTTGATTTAAGTTAAAATTTATCATAAACAATTGTATAGATTGCTAATTATTTTATTGCCAGGTTGGATCAAGACATTTAGTGATTATTACCAAACACAGACCAAGAAGATTTTAGACAATTTTGTGCCCAAGCTTGAGCAAAGCCAGAAATATAAGTTCATGTTTTCTGAAATTTCTTACTTCTCTTGGTGGTGGTCAGAACAAACTCCAGAAATGAAACAACGAGTTAAAAGGTAATTGTCTTGTCAATAGTAAAATGTTGTAATATAACTACTTCTGTTTGAATAATGACGCACAGATTGTTTTATTGAACACTGGCATATTAGGAGTATTTGTTTTTATTTAATGTTTTGAATATTTGTCCTACAGGTTAATAGACAATGGTCAGTTTGAGATCTCCACTGGTGGTTGGGTTATGACAGATGAAGCTAATGCTCACTATTTTGCTATGCTGGACCAGTTGATTGAAGGAAATCAGTGGTTAAACAGAACATTAAGTATGTTTTTCTTCAACTGAAATATATCTTTTTTTTTAACATTTAATTAGATGTTTTTTTAACTCTTGGAGTATAGTTGAATAGGTTGTTTTAGTATTCCATCTCAAACTGTGTCATCACAGTGATTGTAGATTTCCCATAGGGTTTATATTTTCAATATTTGATAGTCTGATAAAAGAACATTCACCCAACATATAGTTGGACTGGTAGTTGTTCTCTGAGACATCAGAAAGCTTTACTTGGTTGATTTTAGAAGCTTAGTCATTATAGCATGCCAATAATATATAAAAGCTGACATTTTTTTAGTTCATAAATGATTTTTTTCTATTGTGTTACATTAGGCTAAAATTGTTAAAGCTCTAGATGTTTTAGTTAAAAAAAAACAATGTTTTAATATTATGAATTAAAAAATGAAATTCTGCCTTTCATTTTTAGACTACATACCTCAGTCTGGATGGGCTGTTGATCCTTTTGGCTACTCATCTACGATGGCTTATCTCTTGAAAAGGTCCAACTTTAAAAGCATGTTGATACAGAGAGTGCACTACTCTATCAAAAAGTATTTAGCCAAGTCCAGCAACTTGGAGTTTATGTGGAGACAACACTGGGGTAAGTTATCTACAAGAGAATATTGCTAATTAATATATAATACATGATGAATTTAATTGGTGATGTTAGCAATGGCTATGGCTTAATTACATTACTGCCATGATAATAAAAATAGTGTAATGTTTTATTTACTTCCCAGATTCTGCAGCCAATACTGATATCTTCACACACCTGAATGTTTTATTTACTTCCCAGATTCTGCAGCCAGTACTGATATCTTCACACACCTGAATGTTTTATTTACTTCCCAGATTCTGCAGCCAGTACTGATATCTTCACACACTTGAATGTTTTATTTACTTCCCAGATTCTGCAGCCAGTACTGATATCTTCACACACCTGAATGTTTTATTTACTTCCCAGATTCTGCAGCCAATACTGATATCTTCACACACTTGAATGTTTTATTTACTTCCCAGATTTTGCTGCCAGTAATGATATCTTCACACACCTGAATGTTTTATTTACTTCCCAGATTCTGCAGCCAGTACTGATATCTTCACACACTTGAATGTTTTATTTACTTCCCAGATTCTGCAGCCAGTACTGATATCTTCACACACCTGAATGTTTTATTTACTTCCCAGATTCTGCAGCCAATACTGATATCTTCACACACTTGAATGTTTTATTTACTTCCCAGATTTTGCTGCCAGTAATGATATCTTCACACACCTGAATGTTTTATTTACTTTCCAGATTCTGCAGCCAATACTGATATCTTCACACACCTGATGCCTTTCTACTCCTATGATATACCTCACACCTGCGGCCCTGATCCTGCTATCTGTTGTCAGTTTGACTTCAGACGTTTACCTGGCAATGCCTTTAGATGCCCTTGGAAAATAGATCCCGTCCCCATCTCTGATGTCAATGTTGCTGAAAGGTTTGTTTGTAATCACATTTCTACTGGAGCATATTTTAAGTTTCAAGAGTTAAACATCTAAAAAAACAAAAAATACATATTCATAATTTCTTTTTTTTTATTGTAGGACAAATCTAATATTAGATCAATGGAAAAAGAAAGCTACTTTATACAAGACGAATGTCTTGTTGGTTCCACTGGGTGATGATTTTCGCTATCTTCAGCCTGATGAGTTTGATCATCAGTTTGGAAACTATGAAAAAATATTTAATTATCTATCAACACATCCTGAGTTAGGAGCACAGGTTAAGTGAGAATTCTTCTTTTTTTAATGTCACTGATAATAAAATCTTGATGAATTACACATTGCTGGTTGCACTGTAATGCTGCTTGAGATCTGTCTACAATTGAATGTGGGATTTTCTGTTTTACAGGGCCAGTTTGGTACTTTAAGTGACTATTTTAATGCCCTGTATAGCTCTACAAACACTGTTCCTGGCAATGCTCCACCAGATATTCAGAGCTTAAGTGGGGACTTTTTCTCTTATGCTGACAGAGATGATCATTATTGGACAGGTTATTACACCTCTCGCCCTCTTCAGAAAAATCTGGATAGGGTGTTAGAACATAACCTTAGGTAAATTTGTTTAAAGTTACACGTTTCATATTTGACTTTAAAAATGTTGACATGAAATATATGAATGCTTAGTTAGCTGTTTGTGATTAATTTTTTTTTTTTAATTCATTACTTGCTCTAGTCATATAGCAGTGCAACATGTTGGGCTTGAACATGAGTAAATATTTGTATTGTAGGTCAGCTGAAATTATCTTTAGTTTGACCCAAGTCAAAGCTAAAAGAAATTCGGCTGCCAACTTTCCAAGTACACAGTTCATGCAGAAGCTGGTAGAAGCAAGACGAGCTCTGGCTCTGTTCCAGCATCATGATGCCATCACAGGGACGGCTAAAGATAATGTTGTTGTTGACTATGGTGAAAGGTTGGTACAGTCAAATTATATTGGTCTAGTCAATAGCTTCTTCATTTATAACTCATTAATAGCTGTTAATAAATTTAAAAGGATTGTAATAAAATTGTATGCAGAAATAAATGACTTACGTTGCAATTCTGAACAAACTGTGTCCATTTTAGTCTTTAAATTAATTTTGAAGGTAATTGGTGGTTTATATATTAATACAAATAATTTAAAATCTTCTGCAGATTACTTAAAGCTTTAGAAAACACAAAAATAATCATCACAGAGTGTAGCACATTTCTCTCAATGCAAACAAAAACAGATTACTCTTGGACTGAAGGAAAACCTTTATTTAATATGGTAATTGTGGGAACATATCTAAGTATATAACTCTACATAAATTATAAACCATTTGTTTGTTGATGTAGATATTTATAAATTTATATTTATTTCTGTCACTTGTGTGATAATCAGCTTGAGTATTTCTCTTGTGTCACAGGATGAACTGAGAATAAGCCATGACAGTCTAGCCACTAAACCAACTTTGGAGCTGTCTGACCAACCCAAGTAAATCAACTCTATAGTTCATTTTTTCAATTCAACCACACCAGTTCTCTGTATTTAACCTAAACAGTGTGTTACTACCACCACTATACCTGACAATATGACTTACATGTCAGTATTAAAAAAATTACATTCACCTTGAAATCAAAATAGAGAGAGAACAATATATTTATATAATCAACACATTAACTAGCATGGGTATCTCCTAGTTCCATACTAATGATGTTCAGCTGCCACCTTAACTCTCCAGCATTCAACATGTTATGTTACATTGGATGTGTTTCTATACAATTCTCTTGTTTTGTTTCAGATCTTTTCTGCTGTACAATTCTCTAGCACAGTCTAGAGTGGAGCTGGTTGAGCTCTGGACATCATGGCCCTATGTAGAGATCACTAACTCAGCTGGACAAGCTATTCATTCTCAAGTCCAGCCTCACTGGTCAGACATTGGAGTCATATCTACAAAGTTGTTTAAGGTTAGTCATTTACTGACTGGAGATGGTGTGGTAGAAGGGTTTGATGGCTGGTCTCAAGTTCTGATCTCAGTTGGGACCTTTGTGCTGGCCTTTAGGTATCAAGTTCTGATCTCACTTGGGGCCTGTGACTGCTAGCCAGAAGGTCTCAAGTTCTGATCTCACTTGGGACCTGTGACTGCACGAATGAGTCCACCCATGTCTGATTCACATTAGGTGGCTGGGCACAATGTGGACCACACCATTCCTTCACACGCTGAGGTCATTGAAACAGATGAACTCTACCCCGTCTGCTCCATGTGTCTTCGGCACAAATGGAAAAAGTTAATTTACTTACTGGATGTTTGGTTTTATCAAGAATTAGGTGCCTGAATCTTGTCAATCCATTACAATGGCATTAAAAATTGTGCTCATGCAATTGTCTAATTAGTATTTTAGGCAGTTTCCACACTTCACAGGAAAGATAACTTAAGTCTTTATTATAAAGTTATAATTGATTTCTTAAAGTAATTCACATAGAAACATACTTTATAAGTCAATAATTATTCTATTATTTCTGTTCAAGGTTGTGGAAACTGGGAAAGGTTTAGATGAATTAACTCTTGCACTCGCCCTCAGTCATATGATGGCTAACATTTATTGCTAAGTTTTATTTTTTACTTAATTTAATTACATTTTAAATTAACAATGGTTATTTTGCCATTATTTTTAAGACAATTAAAAATTTTGTTGTTTTCTAATTAGGTATCATTCCTTGCTGATATGAAGGGACTGAGTGTCCAAAAGTTTGTTATTAAAAAGGTTGAAAATGGGATGGATACAAAAAACCATATTTCATCAGTGACAATTCTAAATCCAGAGAGAGCATTTGATGTCAAACGGTTAGTGCACCCATTTAATCTCTTTGTGTCGAGAAGTTTTAGAAAATTATATTAATTATAGTTATATTTGCTTGGGTGTTACATAAAAATTTATAATTTGGTCCAAATATTTGAATAACCAGGGGACCATTTACAGTTGAAACTGTGAAAGATCAAAAAGATTTCACTCTGGAGACCAAATTTTTATCCTGTGTTTTCACTGGCGCTACAGGACTTTTAAAGGTAAAACCAACTCCCTATTTATATATCCTTAATATGGAAATTATGATATATTCATAACTAGTGTTTTTATACATCAATATTAAGTATGAAAATATCCATGGTTTTTTTTGTGTTCTAACCTATTTTCCAATTTAAAAAGGCTCAATTTTAAAATTCTAATAACTATTTAACAGACTTGTAAAGATGTTATGACAGGAAATGCTTACAAGTCAGAACTAGAGTTTATACAGTATGGCACTAGGCTTGCTAATGACAAGTCTGGGGCTTACCTCTTTTTACCTGATGGAGATGCCAAGGTAGGATATTTGGGGGGGGATCCTACATTTTATAAAAAATAAGAACAGTTCCAAGTGTGGAGTAATTAGAATTATTTTTTTAACTATGTTCTTGTAAATACTATTTCCAGCCTCTGCTTACATCTGGACCAGTTCTGATTCGGGTGATTAGAGGAACTCTTATATCTGAAGTTCATGTAATCACACAATATATTCAGCATGTGATTAAGTTGCATAATTCCCCAGGTAATAACTGCCTCATAAATAATGAGATTACGTAGACACAAGCTCTTAATTTGTTTCCATTTTTTTTATCTAGAAAAATATTGTCTATCAGTTTTTAATGTTTAAACTTTTTTTTTTTTGCTCTTACTGATGTGATAATACTGTTGACTCTATCTACATTTTGTTTTCATTCTTACTTAATCTTTGTTGTCTATACATTTTGTTTAAAAAAACCAAGTGAAAATGTATTCTGTCACCATCTTATTGTATGAGATTTGTGCCTGAATTAAAACTCTTGACCAGGTACTGATGGCATGGCAGTAAACATGTACAACATCGTTGATATCAGAAACTCACACAATAAAGAGGTGGGGGTCAGAATACATACAGATGTGGAGAATCAAGAGCAAACCTTTTATTCAGACCTCAATGGCTTTCAGGTGAGTTTGTCAATGTTTTTCACAATGGTTTTTGTTTCTCAGATTTCATATTCTAGCTCCCAATAGTGCTGGTAAGATAAACAGACATGGCCCAAGTCAAAAGTAACCAAATGTCTTGTAATCGTCTTGAAAGTAGTTATTAGAACATTTTCTAATGTGGAAATCATTTTTAAATAATCTAAAACATTCCTTTATGTTTTATGTGCTTTATTGCTTACTGAAAGTAAAGATTCATTATTTTCAGTGGTTTTTTTTATTCTAACAGATGCAGAAACGTAAATATTACCAGAAGTTAACCCTCCAAGGTAATGTGTACCCTATGCCAACAATGGCTTATTTACAAGACAGCAGGAAAAGAGTTAGCATTCTGTCAGCTCAGTCTTCTGGTGTTGCCAACTTATTGCCTGGTGAGTAGACTGAGTCAACTTTGGTCTTGATACAAGCTAAGCCAGTCAACTTTGGTCTTATGCTGGTCAACTTTGGTCTTGTTACAAACTATGCTAGTCAACTTTGGTCTTGTTACAAACTATGCTAGTCAACTTTGGTCTTATGCTGGTCAACTTTGGTCTTGTTACAAGCTATGCTAGTCAACTTTGATCTTGATACAAGCTATGCTAGTCAACTTTGGTCTTGATATATGCCAGTCAACTTGGTCTTGATACAAGCTAATCTTACACTCAACTAGTGCCATCAGGCTGCAATCATTTCATCTAGCAGTACATGATTATGTATGAGACTTCCTTGTCTTGACTTGATGAGTTGTACATTCTGTGACTAATCTCATTCTTCTATCTGCCCATCAGGTGCACTGGATGTAATGTTTGACAGGAGGCTGAACCAAGATGACAACAGGGGATTGGGCCAGGGAGTGCTGGACAACAAACCAACTTTAAACCAGTTTAGAATTTTATTTGAAACAAGGACATCCAAACTTGAAGTAGGTCCTTGGTCAAAGTTAGTTTTCATGTTAAAAGTTTTTTTTTTTATGTTTTAACTTTAATTTTTGACACATTTTTTCTTTCTCTAGTCAGTTGTTAGAGAATCCTCATTCCCCTCCCTGTTGGGTCAGCTGTCATCACTGTCACTGATCCACCCTGTGTTTGTCATGCCTAGAAGTTTTCATGGGAAAGAGCCAAACATGAACAGTGAAGTTTTACTTCTACAAGAATCCTTATCCTGTGAACTTCATATGTTAAATCTTAGGATATTTCAAAACAGTGATGATATCAAAGAGGTAATCATTCAAAAGGTTATTTTAAAATGTTGATTTTAAATGTAAAGATGGCTTTGTCTTGTGCTGAAAGTTTTAAAAAACTGTTGTTTTTTTTATTACTTTTTAGCTCCAGTTTGTTCCTAGAGAAACAAGTATGCTGTTACTTCGCCATCTGCCTAGTGACTGTAGTTTCCCCAACCTAGGAATTTCTTGTAAACCCGGAGATGGAAAGGTTTGTGTCAATCAAATATATATCAGCACTGAGTAGAAAGTGTCAATCAAATATATATCAGCACTGAGTAGAAAGTGTCAATTAAAATATATATCAGCACTGAGTAGAAAGTGTCAATCAAATATATATAAGCACTGAGTAGAAAGTGTCAATCAAATATATATCAGCACTGAGTAGAAAGTGTCAATCAAATATATATCAGCACTGAGTAGAAAGTGTCAATCAAATATATATCAGCACTGAGTAGAAAGTGTCAATCAAATATATATCAGCACTGAGTAGAAAGTGTCAATCAAATATATATAAGCACTGAGTAGAAAGTGTCAATCAAATATATATCAGCACTGAGTAGAAAGTGTCAATCAAATATATATCAGCACTGAGTAGAAAGTGTCAATCAAATATATATCAGCACTGAGTAGAAAGTGTCAATCAAATATATATCAGCACTGAGTAGAAAGTGTCAATCAAATATATATCAGCACTGAGTAGAAAGTGTCAATCAAATATATATAAGCACTGAGTAGAAAGTGTCAATCAAATATATATCAGCACTGAGTAGAAAGTGTCAATCAAATATATATCAGCACTGAGTAGAAAGTGTCAATCAAATATATATCAGCACTGAGTAGAAAGTGTCAATCAAATATATATCAGCACTGAGTAGAAAGTGTCAATCAAATATATATCAGCACTGAGTAGAAAGTGTCAATCAAATATATATCAGCACTGAGTAGAAAGTGTCAATCAAATATATATCAGCACTGAGTAGAAAGTGTCAATCAAATATATATCAGCACTGAGTAGAAAGTGTCAATCAAATATATATCAGCACTGAGTAGAAAGTGTCAATCAAATATATATCAGCACTGAGTAGAAAGTGTCAATCAAATATATATCAGCACTGAGTAGAAAGTGTCAATCAAATATATATCAGCACTGAGTAGAAAGTGTCAATCAAATATATATCAGCACTGAGTAGAAAGTGTCAATCAAATATATATCAGCACTGAGTAGAAAGTGTCAATCAAATATATATCAGCACTGAGTAGAAAGTGTCAATCAAATATATATCAGCACTGAGTAGAAAGTGTCAATCAAATATATATCAGCACTGAGTAGAAAGTGTCAATCAAATATATATCAGCACTGAGTAGAAAGTGTCAATCAAATATATATCAGCACTGAGTAGAAAGTGTCAATCAAATATATATCAGCACTGAGTAGAAAGTGTCAATCAAATATATATCAGCACTGAGTAGAAAGTGTCAATCAAATATATATCAGCACTGAGTAGAAAGTGTCAATCAAATATATATCAGCACTGAGTAGAAAGTGTCAATCAAATATATATCAGCACTGAGTAGAAAGTGTCAATCAAATATATATCAGCACTGAGTAGAAAGTGTCAATCAAATATATATCAGCACTGAGTAGAAAGTGTCAATCAAATATATATCAGCACTGAGTAGAAAGTGTCAATCAAATATATATCAGCACTGAGTAGAAAGTGCCAATCAAATATATATCAGCACTGAGTAGAAAGTGTCAATCAAATATATATCAGCACTGAGTAGAAAGTGCCAATCAAATATATATCAGCACTGAGTAGAAAGTGTCAATCAAATATATATCAGCACTGAGTAGAAAGTGTCAATTAAAATATATATCAGCACTGAGTAGAAAGTGTCAATCAAATATATATCAGCACTGAGTAGAAAGTGAGATCTGTGCTGGCCTCACTATCTTCATGTCAGCCATGACCATAAAATATACCCACATTACTCAATATACGTTTTTTAGTACCAATTGACTTTAAAACGTGTGAATAATTATTCCTCCCTAGATTTCTCCCAGTAAGATATTTGCTGATGTGCAGATCAAGAAAAGTGTTTTGACCAGCCTTACAGCAAATCATCAGCTTGAAGTCCTGGAACCCAGTTCTTTACTAACTGTGCCTCAGATGGAAATCAGAGCCCTACAAGTTGACATGTCCTAGTGATACTCCACCCTTACATTTGTCTACTAGCTCAACTCTAAATATAGAATTTAATCATTTTAAAGTAACTATGAATTACTTACTAGCCTACAGTTTTTAAAATGCACCATTATTCCAGGACCTGTAAGTAACAGTAATTAGCATACAGTGAATTATAATTGGGTTGACTTAATGACTTTAAAATGTGCTGGCTTTATTAGTTTAACTGTGGATTCTATTCATGGCACCTTCCTAGTGTTGTGAAAAAAACATCAGTTTTTCAGTCAAATAATGCAATGATTAGAAACTCTCGTATAATGCTCAATCATGGGTAGGGTTTTTTTTTATATAACATTTTTAACTGTCAACATTATGAAACAATAATTGTTTTTTTATCAAATGTTGGGTGTAATATTTATACCTTAGTAAAATTGAGGAAGTATGTTGATTCAGTATTTGGTATAATTTGCAGTGTTGCTGTACAGTTTGCTCATATTTGAAACTGTTGGATATTCTATTTACAGAGCTGAGTATTCTTGCTGATCTAGTGTGAAAGCTCTTAACATACAATTATTTTAGAAATGTGCGAAAAAGAATGGCAGAAAAAAATAATTTATTTAAACATTTATTTTTTAATGCATTAGTATGCATGTCTATGTAAATATTTACAAGCCATTTGAAAAAGGGTGTGGTTAATTTATTTATAACTTTATCTTACAATGAGTATTTGAAGAGCTGGACTATAATAATCTCTTCAGGATTATTTTGTCTAGTTAAGTCTCTGTTTCTTGTTCTGTAATCAAGGTTAAACTACTTAACCATCCAGTAGCTTTAAAAAAATGACACAAAATGTATTGCTATAAGCTGTTGGCCCGTCTCATTGTTAATCTGCTTTTACTATTTCTTTGTTCTTTGAAATTGTATATTTTTCTAATAAAACTGTAGCATTAGCAAATGGGTCTAAAATAAGTATCAATTTTTTCTTAAATCATGATCCTTCAGTCCTTAAAATTGTTGATAAAACTTGTGAATTATAGAAACTGCCTTGTTTCATTCCATCCAAGTGTCATTTGCCTATCTCTCTGTACTAGATTGCATACATGTCTCTAATCTTGTATTAGTAATGTGATATATCCCATTTTCTTAATTTTTATTAAGATTTTTGACTATAAACTATAAATAAATTATCTTTTGTATGTTTAATGTATTAATATTATTCTATGTCTATTTTGTGTTTCTAACATTGACTTGTTGCATGTGTATTTAATGATGAAAATAAATTTCAGATTCTGAATTAAAGCATAAATAACTATTTTAATCAATGATTTAATTCATGTCTTATTGTCTAACCACCTAAAAAACAAACATTCCATTGTTTTATCTAAATGAAATGCACTTTTTATTTTAGTCAAACTTGAAAATATTCAATTTCTTTCTTGTTAGTTTTAAGCCATGTTTGAACTTGACCTTTTTTTTTAATAAAGAGCCTTTAATATTGCTACATCATTGTGTGATATGTCAATTTAATGTTTTTGTTTTAAGAATCATTTTTTTCAATTACATGTTAAATCACTTGTTTGATTTTATTTAATGCATAATTAGCACAATTTTTAAATTGATTTTTTTCAATCTTGTTGAATTCCATATTTGAACATATGATAAATCAAGTTTTTTTAAAAGTAAGGTAAATATTTTTTAATTCAAGTAGTCAAAAATTAAAAAATTTAAATAGTATTTTGACATTTCTTAGTTAATAAACTGCCTCATGGAATGTTTCAAGCTAAGCAAAATTATTCACCTTCTTGCCATTTTTCTAATCTGTCTTTCTTTATTTACAACACTGTTAACAAAAATTTAATGAATATTAAATTTTAAATTAGCATACTTTGGCTATTGTTATTGATTATGAGATTCAATAGAACATTTTATGTTCTTCTCTTTTATGTTGCGGATTTAAATAAATGGGGAAGGGGGAAAAACTGTGTTCAAAATATACTTCAGCATAAAGATTCCTCTTTGGATATAGCAATCCAATGGGCAGATGAAGTAGTTCATATGTTGGTCATGTTCTTGGTCAGCACTGTGCCTAGCGACTTTACTTTCCTAACCTGAGTGAGGTACACTTGATTGGGTGGACTGAGGGACGTTCTACTGACTCCAACCCAGATTGGAACATGAGACTTTGGAGTCCCATATACTTCAACTTGTGTGTAGTTGTTATGAAATGTGATGTCATGACATTAAATAATCTGGTGTTATCAGTTTAACTCCTGTACTATCTAGGCCCTATATAAATTGGGAAAAAGTAACACTAGCCCTGCTGTAATGGGGTACAGTAGCCTTTTCCCACCTCTCTACTGGGCTGCACTCCCCTAGGGGCCAACCTTTCCCACCCCCCCCCCCAGGCACCTCTTCCCTCCCGGGGGCACCCCTCCCCCTTTTTCCCCCCTCTTCCCTCCCGGGGGCACCCCTCCCCCTTTTTCCCCCCTCTTCCCTCCCGGGGGCACCCCTCCCCCTTTTTCCCCCCTCTTCCCTCCCGGGGGCACCCCTCCCCCTTTTTCCCCCCTCTTCCCTCCTGGGGGCACCCCTCCCTCTTTCCCCCCTCTTCCCTCCCGGGGGCACCCCTCCCCCATTTTCCCTCCTGGGGGCATCCCTCCCCCCTTTCTCCCCCTCATCCCTCCCGGCGGCACCCCTCACCACATTCTCCCCCTCTTCCCTCCCCCCTCTTCCCTCCCGGGGGCACCCCTCCCCCCTCGTCCCTCCGGAGGCACCTCTCCCCCCCTCTTCCCTCCCCCCTTTCTCCCCTCTTCCCTCCCGGGGGCACCCCTTTCTCCCCCTCTTCCCTCCCAGGGGCACCCCTCTCCCCCCTTCCCCCCCCTCTTCCCTCCCGGGGGCACCCCTCTCCCCCCTTTCTCCCCTCTTCCCTCCCGGGGTCACCCCTCTCCCCCTTTCTCCCCTCCCCCTCTTCCCTCCCGGGGGCACCCCTCTCCCCCCTTTCTCCCCTCCCCCCTCTTCCCTCCCGGGGGCACCCCTCTCCCCCCTTTCTCCCCTCCCCCCTCTCGGGGGCACCCCTCTCCCCCCTTTCTCCCCTCCCCCCTCTCGGGGGCACCCCTCTCCCCCCTTTCTCCCCTCCCCCCTCTTCCCTCCCGGGGGCACCCCTCTCACCCCTTCCCCCTCCCGGGGGCACCCCTCTCCCCCTCCCGGGGGCACCCCTCTCCCCCCCTTCTCCCCACTTTCTCCCCCTCGTCCCACCCGGGGGGCACCCCTCTCCCCACTTTCTCCCCATCGTCTCTCCCGGGGGCACCCCTCTCCCCCCTTTCTCCCCCCTCGTCCCACCCGGGGGCACCCCTCTCCCCCCTTTCTCCCCCCTCGTCCCAAGAAAAACACAAAAAAACACAAGCAATGAGAGCAATTTTAAATAGTTTGCTCTAAAAAATGTAAAAACAGCTTTTATTGGCTTTTTAAAATTATATTTAAGTTATAAAACTAGTCTTAGTGTAAACTTTATTGGTCTGGACTAAAACAAAAAAAAAACTGTCAGCTGAAAATTTAGCTGGCATTTATAATGGGGTCACATCTAATTATGTGACAATTGTTTTATTTGGTGGTCCTGTTGTCATATCCTCATGGTCCTGTTGTCATATCCTCATGGTCCTGTTGTCATATCCTCATGGTCCTGTTGTCATATCCTCATGGTCCTGTTGTCATATCCTCATGGTCCTGTTGTCATATCCTCATGGTCCTGTTGTCATATCCTCATGGTCCTGTTGTCATATCCTCATGGTCCTGTTGTCATATCCTCATGGTCCTGTTGTCATATCCTCATGGTCCTGTTGTCATATCCTCATGGTCCTGTTGTCATATCCTCATGGTCCTGTTGTCATATCCTCATGGTCCTGTTGTCATATCCTCATGGTCCTGTTGTCATATCCTCATGGTCCTGTTGTCATATCCTCATGGTCCTGTTGTCATATCCTCATGGTCCTGTTGTCATATCCTCATGGTCCTGTTGTCATATCCTCATGTGAAGGTCCTGTTGTCATATCCTCATGTGAAGGTCCTGTTGTCATATCCTCATGTGAAGGTCCTGTTGTCATATCCTCATGTGAAGGTCCTGTTGTCATATCCTCATGTGAAGGTCCTGTTGTCATATCCTCATGTGAAGGTCCTGTTGTCATATCCTCATGTGAAGGTCCTGTTGTCATATCCTCATGTAAAGGTCCTGTTGTCATATCCTCATGTAAAGGTCCTGTTGTCATATCCTCAAGCGAAAGTCCTGTTGTCATATCCTCATGTGAAGGTCCTGTTGTCATATCCTCATGTGAAGGTCCTGTTGTCATATCCTCATGTGAAGGTCCTGTTGTCATATCCTCATGGTCCTGTTGTCATATCCTCATGGTCCTGTTGTCATATCCTCATGGTCCTGTTGTCATATCCTCATGGTCCTGTTGTCATATCCTCATGGTCCTGTTGTCATATCCTCATGTGAAGGTCCTGTTGTCATATCCTCATGTGAAGGTCCTGTTGTCATATCCTCATGTGAAGGTCCTGTTGTCATATCCTCATGTGAAGGTCCTGTTGTCATATCCTCATGTAAAGGTCCTGTTGTCATATCCTCATGTAAAGGTCCTGTTGTCATATCCTCAAGCAAAAGTCCTGTTGTCATATCCTCATGTGAAGGTCCTGTTGTCATATCCTCATGTGAAGGTCCTGTTGTCATATCCTCATGTGAAGGTCCTGTTGTCATATCCTCAAGCGAAAGTCCTGTTGTCATATCCTCATGCGAAGGTCCTGTTGTCATATCCTCATGTGAAGGTCCTGTTGTCATATCCTCATGTGAAGGTCCTGTTGTCATATCCTCATGTGAAGGTCCTGTTGTCATATCCTCATGTGAAGGTCCTTTTTATCCTCACGCGAAGGTCCTGTTGTCATATCCTCATGTGAAGGTCCTGTTGTCATATCCTCATGCGAAGGTCCTGTTGTCATATCCTCATGTGAAGGTCCTGTTGTCATATCCTCAAGCGAAAGTCCTGTTGTCATATCCTCATGCGAAGGTCCTGTTGTCATATCCTCATGTGAAGGTCCTGTTGTCATATCCTCATGTGAAGGTCCTGTTGTCATATCCTCATGTGAAGGTCCTGTTGTCATATCCTCATGTGAAGGTCCTGTTGTCATATCCTCATGTGAAGGTCCTTTTTATCCTCACGCGAAGGTCCTGTTGTCATATCCTCATGTGAAGGTCCTGTTGTCATATCCTCATGTGAAGGTCCTGTTGTCATATCCTCATGTGAAGGTCCTGTTGTCATATCCTCATGTGAAGGTCCTGTTGTCATATCCTCACATGAAGGGCCTGTTGTTATATCTGGTGAGCTGGTAAAGTCCTGTTGTCATATCCTCATGTGAAGGTCCTGTTGTCATATCCTCATGTGAAGGTCCTGTTGTCATATCCTCATGTGAAGGTCCTGTTGTCATATCCTCATGTGAAGGTCCTGTTGTCATATCCTCACATGAAGGGCCTGTTGTTATATCTGGTGAGCTGGTAAAGTCCTGTTGTCATATCCTCGCATAGTTGGATGATCATGTCCTTAAAAAATCCTCACATATTGTGTAGATCCAGGAACATATACTTCTATGTTGTAAAATAGGGCTGTTTTGTTCTGTGTCCTACAATATAACTGCTGTTAAATTATGTTAAATTATTCAAAATAGCTTTTCAATTAAACATCTTTTTCTAACAAAAATACAGTGTGTAATTTTTTATTGTTGAAAAACTTCTGATAACTACAAATTAGAAACCAGTTACTTTCACCATGAGAGATGAACACACTAGTCAGTGACTCCTGGTCCCAATTTGGCATGTCAGAATTTGAGATCTTGTGTACACATTGACCTGGCCAAACATTAATGGAGATACGGTCTCAAGCATCTGGGAAACAAGGTTTAAAAAGATAATAGAATAGTTACAGCATCATTTAGTGGTCTAGCGGTAGAGAGCTGGACTGCTAACCCATTTGTCTTGAGTTCAAAACAGGGTTCAAGTCAGTAGACCGTCCCTGAGTCCACCCAACTCAGATGGGTACCTAACTCATGTTAGGGAAAGTAAAGGCAGCTGGGCATAGTGCTGACCACACTATATCTTCATATGCCGAGGTCACAGAAACAAGTGAACACTACTTCACTTGCCGTGTCAGGCTTGAAAGGGAAACTTTACTTTTACAGCCTCATTTATAATTATTTCATGCTAAGATTGTTCAGCTTAAGTTAGTTAATAGAAATAATTATTACATTTTAATAATACATTGTAAGAATTTAAACAATCATTAACCAGCAAAACAAAGATATTAAAAGCAAAAAAAAAAAACCTTTAAATAGAGGACGGTTCCACATTTAATATCATATCTGACCACAGACACCACATGATAGATGGCTGGCCTCATTTGTTGACCACTGACATGATAGATGGGTGGCCTCAATTGTTGACCACTGACATGATAGATGGGTGGCCTCATTTGTTGACCATTGACATCACATGATAGATGGGTGGCCTCATTTGTTGACCACTGGCATGATAGATGGGTGACCTCATTTGTTGACCACTGACATGATAGATGGGTGGCCTCATTTGTTGACCACTGACATCACATGATAGATGGGTGGCCTCATTTGTTGACCACTGACATAATAGATTGGTGGCCTCATTTGTTGACCACTGACATCACATGATAGATGGGTGGCCTCATTTGTTGACCACTGACATCACATGATAGATGGGTGGCCTCATTTGTTGACCACTGACATGATAAATGGGTGGCCTCATTTGTTGACCACTGACATCACATGATAGATGGGTGGCCTCATTTGTTGACCACTGACAT